CTTGAGGGACAGGGAGGGAGTAAAGTCTGACCTTAAATTTTTATGGTGAAGCCTGGGTGAGAAGGAAATACAAGTAGAGAACTGAGAACAGGGCTACATCTTTTTCCCTTACACTGGACAAACTTTATTATTTTTTGCAAAGTACAGTTCCTTGGATGCTGGCATAATATCTAGCCATTTTAATCTTTTCTTATTGTTATAAAGATACAGAACTCAGCAGTCACCAATTCAGGATTTTTCATGTGTACAGTTCAGTGACAGTAATTACATTAATCATGTTGTGCAACCATCACCAACATCTGATGCCAACTTTTCCATCAGGAACTCAGTGAACATTATTAAGAGCTAAAGCTTTGTGATGAAAACCATGAGCCCATGCTGAGCTCAAACTTGGGAAGACACCCAGCTTCTCTGAGTGCCAGGGGGCCACTTTGTAGCAGCAGCAGCATCTCATTCATGGGTGTTAACAGCAAGAGAAAATGCCTCACTCTAGAATTGTTCTTATTGTTGTTAGGTGCCATCGAGTCGACTCTGACTCCCAGTGTGCCTGGTCCTGGGCCATCCTCATGATCCTTGCTGTGCTTGAAGCCATCATCGCAGCCACCATGTCAGTCCTTCTTGTTGAGGGTCTTCCTCTTTTTTGCTGACCCTCTACTTTACCAAGCAGCATGTCCTTCTCCAGGGACTGGTCCCTCCTGACAGTGTAAGCAAAGTACAAGAGGTAAAGTCTTGCCATCCTGACGTGTAAGGAAGCATCCTGGCCATACTTCTTCTAAGACAGCTTGGGTTCGTTCTCCTGGCAGTCCACAGTACGTTCAGTATCTGTAAGAGGCTTTTTGTCAGGAGGGTAGCAGAAGAGAAAAATCATGATAAAAATAAGGAAAAAGAAAATAGAGATGCGGAAGTGGAAAGGAGAAGTCACATATAATGGCAGGGACTCCGCAGAGAGCCAAGGTGCCAGCGGTCGGTGAAGACACGTATTCAGACAGGAAGCCAAGCCTCTGTTGTGTCACTAAATCTGTTGGTGACACTGATGATAGTCCAAGGCAGATGGAGAGGAGGGCAAAAGGCCAGGAGCCTCTCACCAAGGGGCGCCATACTTCATGCAGAGCCCCCGAGCCACCGCTGCCCCATAGTGGGCTGATTTCCTCCCTCCGGCAGGAGGCGAAATGCCAGAGGGCTGCTCATAGGGGCAGAGGGGCTCTGTTGTCCCTCACTAATGAAGAGTAGTCCTCAAACCAGAGCTGCTTTGGTCAGAGTCCCGTCAGCCACTCCCCTGCCTGGCCAGGTCTCTGTAGAACTGCTCTTCCTACTGCTTTTGGAGGAGCTGTGTGTGAAATGTCTGGACACTCTCTGAGCCACTCTGGACATGGCCTAGCAGTCTTAACTGCCCGCGCCCAATCCAGTGTCCCCAGTCACTTTTCGTTTCCTCTTCCTTCTGAAAGCGTCAGACTAAGTTGTCCTTCGAGTCTTAAGTACAAAGAAAGGAAAGATGAACGCTCCCAGGAAGGGAGCAGGAGAAAAAGAGAGAGATTTCCCAGGGAGAAAGCTGGTCCCTAGGGTGAGTTCCCCACAGCCTCAGGGCCAGTGCCAACGTGGAAGTTCAGGGGTGCCCAGGGGCCCCTGGCCGACCACACTGTTTTGCTCGTGGAGCTAAGAACCAGACACAACGATAATGAGGCACTTTTCTTTAGCCCTCTTAAATTTTTTCTCTCTCCCTGGACATTAGTTTGGAAGTCAGAGAAACATCTAGAAATGGCCATTTTCTTCAGCTGATTACGACCAAGTTCATGTACTCGCACACCACTCCCAACAGGGTGCCATTTGGGGGGTGTAGAATTTAAACCCACGGTAACTGAAGAACTTACATTCTGATGTTTCTGACACGGCAGAAAGACGGAGAAAGTAAAAAAAAAAAAAAAAAAAAAAGACCCTGGTAGGCCTCCCACCCATCTGCATATTAGGTGTTTATTTTGGTTTACTTCTGCATTTCACAGTGTATCAAGTAATATATTTCGCTTTTCCCTGGATTAGGCAACTGTAACGTTTCATTTATTTTGTTTGACAGTCGTTTGGCTCATCTGTGTATTACTTTCTTATATAAAAACAAACCACAGATGTGCTAAGACAGCAAAGGGCCACATATGTGATTCTGCCCACCCCCTGCACATCTACAGCCGTTTTGTTTCACTAGGAATGTGTACCTTATAAACAGTGGGTTCACTTTTCTCAAACTCCTTCCCTCCATCTCTGAGGTGCTATTTCTAAAGAGCAGGACTTGTGAGTTTATGAGAGCTGAGCCAGGTAAATATCCTCCCACTGACGCTTGAAATGCAAACTGTTAACAGACTTGGCTGTTAACTGAAGGTTGGTGGTTTGAGTCCACTTCACGGTGCCTTGAAAGAAAGGCCTGGCAATCTACTTCTGAACCATCAGCCATTGAAGACCCTGTGAAACACCGTTCTGCTCTGACACACGTGGGGTCACTGTGAGTCAGAATCGACTCATCGGCAACTGTTTTCTCCTTGATGAATTCACAGCTGTCTCCTCCCAGGTGCCAGTGGCCACAGTACCTGTGTTTCTCCTGAGCTTTCCTTCTGTTCGAGCTCTGGTGGCACTGTGTTTAAAGCACTGGGCTGCTGACCAATAGGTTGGCAGTTCAAACCTAACAGCCACACTGGGAGAAAGATGAGGCAGTCTATTTCTGTAAAGATGGACAGCCTTGGCAACCTATGGGGCACTTCTACTCTGTTCTCTTGGGGTGCAATGAGTCAGAGTAGCCTCAACGGCAGTGGGTTTGATTTTCCTTCTACGACTGTTTGTTTGGTTTTTGTTTGTTTGTATCATGGTTTTATTTCCCTATAACCTTCTTCACTCTTTATTTAGCACATTTCTCTTATAGGTAGAGATACATGCATTCTGCCACAATTTCACTGTTCTTGGCAGTGAAACAGAGTTGATGTCATTTGGCCCCATTGTACCTTATGCAGTGTTGTTTTATTAGTATTTTTATGCTGTTGCTCTTTACATAAAAATAACTGATAATATTGGGATTTGCTAGAGTAGAAAATACAGAGGGGAGAGTAAATGGAATAAATAGTTGTCGCTTCACAAGAATCCATTTCAAGTAGTAAGGTGAAAGGTATGTGGGTAGATAAATAGATCTTGTGACATTTAACCAGGGCCAACCTGGACGTGCAAAGTCAAGTCCCGTGGCGTGAAAAGCAACACACTTGCAGAATCCATAATGTACAAGGAAGAGGAGAAGTCAGAGGTCTTCATTTCATTTGCAGAATTGCCCTTCTGCCTTCGGCAAGTGCTGAATCACTTAACCTTTGCTTGCCGGCTGTGATTTGTATTTTGAATCCATGGAAAGATCAGCAGAGCGTTCTATAGCAACTAGGATCCGTTCGTGCCTGGGTCGCCTAAAAGTAGTGCCTCACCCAAAGGTGCGATTGATTCCCCACCACCACCACCTCACCTTGTTGTTGTTGTTGTTGTTTGCCGTCGAGTCGGCCCCGATTCCTAGCGACCCCTCCTTGGGTTTCCGAGGCAGTATGACTACGGAAGTAGGATTGCTCAACCTTCCTTCCGAGGAGTGGCTGGTGGGTTT